GTGCATCCAGAGCCGTTGACCCATGCTGCCTGTCTGGCAGTGTCCAGAGGTGTGTATCACCCACTTGCAGCCTCAGACTCACGATGGCTCACCCTCAGCTCATGATGGCCCACACAGCTGCTTGGTCTGTCAGCATATGACAGGAGAGAGATGCATTTCTGTTTACTGCCATCTCTCTCTCTCTCTCTCTCTCTCTCTCTCTGTCTCTCTCTCTTTCTCCTTCCCTCTCCCTCTCCCTCCCTCCCCCTCTCTGTCTCTCTCTCTCTGCCTAAGGAGGCGCACTCGGCCTGGTTCCAGCCCAGCCCAGCCCCAGGCTGCAGAGGAGAGGAAAGCTGCAGTTGTGGACAACAGTGAGAATGCAACCCATTCCCCTGTACACACACACACACACACACACACACACACACACACACACTGAGAGAGCAGCACGTGTGAAAGTGTGCCAGAACATACATGTTACTATTAACACCTGGGCTGTTCCAAGCAAATTCAGTTAGGACCTGGCAAGTCATGTCATGGATATACATGAAAAAAAAGCAAAACTTCTATTCCAAATATGCACAATTTCAAAGCTGTGCTCCAAATACATTGTTAATCATGAATTTTTAAAGTGTGTCCTTTCAGGCCTAAAATTGTGACTTGCGTTTAATTTTGACTTGAGTTACATTTGTTTATTAAATTTTACGTTTTGTGTTAATTATGGTAATTCCCACAAAAGTATATTAATATATTGTAGGGTGTATTTTTATGTACTACATTTTTAATACACCTACAAAAGATTAATTTCTGCGTGCAATATATGAATGTTGTTTAATTCTGGTTTTGCAACTAAACAGTCCATGGCTATCTAGACCACTCTGTGCTTAATAGTGTCCTTATCATTAAAAAAATTGAGCAATATATTACCTCTTAAAAAAAACATACTTCCCGTGGCATTATAAAAGTTAATTTGGAAATGCAGTATTTTTCGCTTGCATGTTTTACTATTTCTGAGTAAAGGGTTTCTTTTTCTTTACTTTTTTAGCATTTCTTAGTCTTCACCTTAAAGTTCAAATGATTAAATTATGAAGGAGTCATTGCACATTTGCAGTATCAATAATTATTAATGCTATTTAGAGAACAGTTGAGAAACTTCACATGGATGCAGGAGTTAAATAAAAATTTTTGATTAAATGTTGTCATGGAAATCCATAGCACGAGTTGCCAGGCCCTAGATGAGGTGGTGGAGTAACCATAACAATTTAGGACAATACAGTTTATGTTTCTTCTTTTGCTTATTTAACACAGGCAGTGTGTTCAAATGTTTAACACAGAGATGGGTTTTAATCACACAGTCTGTGTCAGAGAGGTTTTTACTGAAGTCAACAGATGTAACATACGCTAATATGCTAATATGTGGCATGATCATCAAGATTTTGACTTGTTTTGTTACTGTAGAACATCTGATTGCACTACAAAACAAAATGTTATCCAGTTTTGTTATTAACGCACATAAACCAGAGAAGTGATCCTTACAAATTTATTGATTTAAATGTATGATCAAATCATGTGACATACAATAAGAAACAAAAATACCCTTGCATAGATCACAGACCATGCCTTTGTCAATATCTGACAAATAAACACGTTATAACATAATTTCTGTAACAAACGATAAAAAAAATACAATATGAATTAAACACAGTACAGCAAAATGAGTTTGTATTATATGGAACAAACATGAAAATCTAACCATGATTGTTTAACATGAACATGTAGCTGATATGGTCACAAATCTGTGACTTTTGTATGTATTTTGAGCATTTCTTATTTTGAGCATTCAGTACGTTCAGATCAATCTCACAGGTTTTATTTTATCATTATAACCCGTAGCCTTCCTCACTCAAGCTCCTTACACACTGTTGTATTGGTTAAGAAAAGACAAAAATGAACAAGGATGTGATCTGTGGAGTTTGACTGGATTAAATGCAAACAGAAAATAAGTCCCCAGAACAAAGGGAGAAGAGATAAGTGACAGTGGGTGAAGAGGATATGAGTGAGACAGCCTCGCGTGCACACGAGAGCAAGGGCTTAAAAAAACGATGCAACCAGAATATAGTCGATCCTTAGTTTTGAAAGGCTAAGCTCATGCAGTCATAGACCATGCAGATTTTTTTTGCGATCAGTCGCTGTTGAGATATGTATCTTTACAGTATAATTTCACAATGGGATTTAGTTTGGTACCACTGTATGGTGTTGAACAATGTAATAAATGAAAACAACAGACAGTACATTGTTGATGCTAATGCCATTTTTAAACTCTATTTGGTGAAAATTGATAATACTAGCTATAATCTTCCTCTACATTTGTCATGGCTTGTCATATGGACTCGTTATTGAGTCTGCTGTAATTTTTAACAAGAGTATGGTTTCTCCAAACCATAGATATCTAATGTGCCACAGAAATAAAACATTAATAGCAGTATGAGGCCACGCAGGTGAAGAAACCAGTCAAGTGTTCATCGTCCTCTGAAAGGCCACGCCCTTAATGACCAGGCCCTTTACGTTGGCTTTATAGCAGATTACTTTCTGACCGCTAACAAAAACAATAATTACATGATAACATGTAATGTTTTGCTCTGTACTGTCATCCCAAAAGCACTGTGTGTAGTTTTGATGTTTATCTTTTTAAAGCCTTTTAAGAAAAAATTCTTAATATTTCTCCAGGGAGAATTGCTGAAATCTTCAGTGGTTCTCGAGCAGTGCTTGTTGCTCTGGATTACACACTCAGTACAATCACTCAAAAGAGAAGTTGCTATCAGGTGTTCATCAACCTTAACCAACATTAATGTTCATAAATGAAATGTGGCAACAGCACATATTCTATTCTAACAAACAGAAAATGGGATAGCAGCTATTTATTTAATATTCCTGTCCCAGACAGGGCAAAAAAAACTTTAAAACTTCAGGAATTGTTACATTACACCTCTTTTTCTTTCATCATGGCCACTTAGAAAAAAATCCTCTACTTTTATTCTTTCAACAACTAAAACGCCACAGCCCTTGGTTAATGTTGTATTCCTATGGAACCCAGTGTAAATAGATGCTGCTAAATTCAGCTCCTGTATTATGGATCCCTATCCTCTATTGCTGTCATAATGTACATTGGAGTTAAATATATGCATAGCACCATTATGGCTCAATTGCTGTTATTGTACAACTGTTAGTTGGTTTACTCTAACATGTACATTTTAAACATTGAATTAAATGGGCATAGATTTGAAGCTTTGTTCTAACACTGTCCTACTGTATAACAATGTTTAAACACGTGCATGAGCTCCTTCGTCAAGTAGCCTACATTAATTCTTTTTGTTGCTTTTTTCTTCTGTATATAGGTTTATGTTCTTATTGTTAACATGGATTCAGACAGTTGTTTTATAAAAACTCTATATTCAGTTTCCCTGAATTCTTTTTTCCATCTCATTGTCTAGTGGATAGATAAGCTGCAGAAGAGCATCCAGAAGGCTGGATGTTTCAAATCAGTTTGGAGGTCATTACATTCTCAACTATATCTCACACTGTTAATTAAGTATCATTTATAATAAGCCTTTTTCTTAATTAACATGGGTAAGCTTAACTTAAAGTAATCAGGTCCTGCGTGCTGTAACCTCAGTTAGGCTGAAAGTTAGACAGTATGCAAACTGATTCTGATTTGTAACTGTAGTTTTACGCAATGCTCTCTACACGCTAGGTTTTGTGGATCAGGATGCAGATCTTTCCTGCTAATATAGCTAGAATGCTAAAAATGAAACCCATAATAAAGATGAAACCCAAAATGCCAAGACAAAGCATGAGTCTTGATTGTGCGTAGCTAGGAGGGGAATAGGTCTAAGGGTCAGGAAACAGTTGCATTGTTGCATTTGTTTTAACAAACTGTGCTTCCATAAAGGCTAGTTGTTGGGGAACTGTGAAAACGAGTTTTTGTTATTTGTACATCACACACTGGCCATAGTTTTCCCACATGTACTGGAGCTCTACACCAAGGAGCTGTTCCGCTCAACGGCAAGCCCTACGGTGATGACCTCACTGAGGTAGACTCATTATGGCACAACACAAGTGAAAACTACAATGCAAGGCAGATTTGAAGCTCTAAAAGATCACATCCTCCCTTCCCCATTCAAATGTGGCCCAACCCTCATATTCTATCAGGGCCTTAGTGCATGACAACACAAAATGTTGAGTTGTGCCATGTTAGTTTCTTTTTTTGTACCACTTATTTCTTTGTACAGTACATACGCTCATTTTAGTTGTCATCAACAAGCGTCATGTGGCAATTCCACAAAATCTGTCTTCCCGAGGCACTTTCACCTATACTATTGTTGAGAGGGTCAAAAGGCACTAGCAACAAATAAAACTAATTCTGCCATGATTTATTTTGCATCCCATTGAAGGAAATCCAAGATGTCCTAAACATGATTGCAAAAAAATGTAAGCATGAATCATAATTTGCTCAGTTTTCTTTCTGAGAAAAGGCCCATGCATTGCACTATTGAAGTTATACTGATTTTGAACAGGTGCTTATATGAGTATATGCAATTTTATAGTATTATTTGTTTTTGTTTTGTTTTTTTTCTGCTTCTTAGACTACTTTTTAGATCAGAAAGTTTACATCCCTGTGTTGGGGTTTGCATATCTTTTTTTGTCACATTTCAGAAAATTTCAGGATTCTAAGTCCTTAGTTTCCCTGATAGTAACAACGACACCATGGAGAGGTGTCTAAATTGCAATAAGCTATATAATACCAATGTCATGCATTAAATATACTAGGATACACAGTACCTTAGTTGGAATAGGCCATAATGCAGATTATTTTAACATGCTATGATCTCATTAAGATTGTTTCCCTTAAGGTTAAACATTCAGTCCTTAAATACACCTAAATGAGAAGCATTTCAAATCATATCAAACCAGTGCACTTTCCATGGAGAGGGAATTAGGGAGTAAATGACTAGGACGAGAGAAAAAAGGTTTAAAAAAAAGATCCATAGAATGAGGTAATGTCTCACGCATGCCGATATCAAAATGAGGATAATCTAAACATGCTTATTAATAAGCTATTTTTTCCCCTGTCATTGTGCTGTCTTGCATCGAAAGGGCATGGCATCGAATCACTTGGTGATATCTAAATTACAGCATCTGCTGGAGAATAGCAGCATTGCGGATGTTCATGAGGAGATGACTTCGTCCCTCATGGCATCCCCGCAGGAGATCAGTCTTGTTCGTATAAGGTGCTTTGCTGGTCAGTAGGTCTGGAGTGCTGTGGGGAAGACCACACACAGGCCAAGCGCTGCAGATGGCTTGGCTTGTCCTTGTGGAACTGAGTATTTTTATGCGTTTTCGCCTTAGATGCACTGTGCAACTTGCTGACATGTAATCTGTGATCCATGCATAATGTTTCAGCAATTGCACCACCGCCAGCTGGGAACAGCCATCCAGAGTCCTCACCAGGGCCTCTAGAGAATCTGTCAGTTAAGTAGGCATGTTTCTGGACGTGCTGTGAATGATTTACACTAACTATATATACATATTTATCGGTCTCATATTCTAACTGCATGTTGTATCTTTTGGTCTGTTCTCCTTTCATCTGCAAAGTATAATAGTTGCAATGCAGGAGTGCATTAGGGAATTTAATGAAGCATTCAAATACTGAAGCAGTCAACATTTGACTGAATCTTTACAGTCCCACTGTTCATCACTGAACTCTAAACATCTGTCAGCAGCTTACTTTTGTTAACACAGTTTTGATTGGCTATGGTGCAGTTGCCAGTTCTGAGGTTGGCCTCTCTGAAGTTGTCTATGCTGTTGTTCATGTCTCCGTCGATTTCCATGTACTCAGACTTGCTGGCGACTGAGGAACTGCGACGGCTTGAATCGGAGTCAGACGCGATGTTGGGGTTGCTTACATTCAAAAGCTGGGCCTGCTCCTCACCCTCAGTCTCCCTATGGTAGAAGTAGTTGAAGTTGGATACGATGACAGGCACTGGTAGGGCAATGGTCAGCACACCAGCGATTGCACACAAGGAACCTACAATTTTGCCCCCTATAGTCACTGGGACCATATCTCCATAGCCTACTGTGGTCATTGACACAACGGCCCACCAGAATGCATCAGGGATACTGCTGAAGTGCGACTCTGTCTCCTCAGCTTCCGCAAAGTACACAGCACTCGAAAACAAGATGACGCCGATGAACAGAAAGAATATGAGCAAACCAAGCTCCCGCATACTGGCCTTTAGGGTCTGCCCTAAAATCTGCAGGCCTTTGGAATGCCTGGACAGCTTAAAGATCCTAAACACCCTGACCAGACGAATCACCCTGAGAATGGCCAGCGATGTTGCTTGCTCCCCCTTGCCCTCCTTACCATCTGCATCTTCTGCCAGCTCTGTGCCCAGTGTAATGAAATAGGGGATAATAGCTACTATATCTATGGTGTTCATCATGTTCTTAAAGAAGGCTGCCTTGCTCGGACATGCAAGGAACCGTACTATAAGTTCAAATGAGAACCAGATTATGCAAAGGGTCTCTACAACGAAGAAGGGATCGGTGAGGATGTTTGGTTTGTAGAAGAAGGTGCTGTTTCCAATTGTCTGCATTCGTCCCTCAGGATCCTCTTTCAGTTCAGGCAAAGTCTCCAAACAGAAAATGACGATGGAAATTAAAATGACCATAACAGAGACTATAGCAATTCCTCTGGCTGGTCCCGAACTCTCAGGATGTTCAAACAGAAGCCAGATTTGACGCTGGAACTCGCGTTCGGGCAGTGGCCTTTCTTCTTCTCGGATGAAGCCCTCATCCTCACGAAACTTCTCCATTGCTTCCACTCCAAGTTCATAGAACTTAATTTCTTCTGAGAACATATCCAGTGGGACATTCACAGGTCTCCTCAGCCGACCCCCTGACTGGTAGTAATAGAGGATGGCATCAAAACTGGGGCGATTTCGATCGAAGAAATACTCATTTCTCAGGGGATCGAAGTAACGCATTCTCTTCTTGGGGTTCCCTAATAGTGTCTCTGGAAACTGAGCGAGGGTTTTGAGCTGGGTTTCAAAGCGCAGCCCAGCGATGTTGATGACCACTCTCTCGCAGCATTCGTGGTCATCATGGTCGGGAGGATATGTGTCCTGCGGATGCCCCGGCACGGCTGACGTCTCATCCATGTTATCTCCGGCCACTACGGTCATCCTGCAAGTCTGGGTAGAAGCACTGCAGGAGCTGTGGGACTGCGCTTAGTACGCTAGAATGGACATCCACTTTTCTTGCCAGATTCCTCCTCTGCTCAGTGTCCCTGTCCTGCCCACACAGCCGGCTCGGACCCCAGCTAGGGGGCTAGTTCACTTTCCGTCAGTGCGTCCCCACTGCGGCTCCACCATCGCTCCTTTCCACTGCATCCGCTACTGCTGCCTCTGTCACCCAGTCAGAGAGAAAAAAATGGATCGAACAGCGGAGATATTTGCCAGCTCAGCAATTTCACTCCACTTATTTATTTATTTATTTATCTATCCATCCTCTTAACTGTAATTTATTCGCTTGGGCACACATCCTTTAGGGGTAGTTTACTGAATTAAAGGACTAGACACTGAACCACTGCACTTTTTAATGTTGTTCCAGTGCAAATGATGTGACATAATCTTGTAAGTTGAGCTCCCTGCTTGCATACATGCTATGCTAGTGTAGTTGCACTGCTCAAGTGTCACGAACTCAGAAACGAAGAAGAAGTGTGTAATGGAAGGTAAGAAGAAAAGTAAATCTGAGCAAAGAGATATTTTAGCAGAAAAGCACAGCACTGTAACAGGAGCTAGGGAGATTTCGTGCTTACCTCCTGCAGCTCTGCAGATACACTGGCCGGACTGCGCTGGTAACGAGCACTTCACGTGCGTTTACGGGATGTATCCGTCGTATCCTGGGCAGCGTGACAGCTGAGCATCTTCAGTCGCGTTACACTGAATGGCAGTTTGAAAAAGAAAAAAACCCGAATGCTTTCACAAAGAGATGCCAGTGCACGGAAAGCAAATGAAACTAAGTGCTGAAATTAAAAATAAGAAAGCAGGTGAAGCCGCAGCCTCCCGCGCTGGTGGACGGTAGAAAAACCCCACTGCTGCAGCTCAGGGGGTGGTGGGGGTGGAGAGCGAAAGAGAGAGAGAGAGAGAGAGAGAGAGAGAAAGAGAGAGATGGGAGATGCATTAAGGGGCAAAACGCGAAGCCCTGCCATTTCCAGACATGACTGCATCAGCGAAAAAATTTCCCTCTCACGAGTAGACAGAGATGACGGGAGGTCTGCTTTATGTGGACACACTGATGGGGGAATGGAGGTGGAAGGTGCTTAAAGAGGGGGAGAGATCGATAACGGGATAGAGAATAATTCCTTAATAATACTCAGCGTGTTGGTGCACGCGGGAGAGAGAGAGCAGGGGAGAGAGAGAGAGAGAGAGAGTGGGGGAGGGGGTCCGACGCAATGCAGACTGGCTCTGCTAACACACGTGGCCGCGAGTGCTAACCACACCACAAAAAAGCAAGAGGGTTTGGGTGCAAGCAGTGGTGCAGAGTCTGATTCACTACAGACTGATGTGGGTACTGTAACTGTTCTCAGGAAAGCCTACAGCAACTACATTAAAAAGACATGAAGTGATGATTGTCTAGTGCATAGCTAAGTAGCTAAGCTGAAACACAACAGAAAATACGCCTTGAAAGCATGTTTACTGTGTTGTTTTACCACAGATTTTTTTATAAGACAAACAACACATAAAAGTAGCACCATGGAGAGGGGAATGGTGCTGTATCATTCTCCACTAATCACTGACTTAGTATAGTCGAGCTGACTGTGTGCACACACTGGTGCAGGGTCGGACTTATAGCAACTGAACTAAAAGATGTCGATAATATCCAACTAGTGCACAGTTCTTGCTGATAGCTAAGCTAAAATAAAACATAGTTTCTAAGAACATTATAGCATATAATAGTTGCATATAAATTATAATATCGAGTTTTAAAATACTTTCACATTCTAATTTCTATATCATCATGTTCGACTATTGTTACATAAGACAAACATAAAGCGTAACAGTAGCAGAGTGGACAGTGAAACGTGGCTAGACGAGTAATTGAAGGTTTAACTGGCCCTCCCTTAGCTAACACTAATGCATCTGATCCAGCCAATCAAAGACTTCTGAAGAAGTTAATTAGCTGGAGAAGGTGTGGCAGATTGTGGTGGCTACTAGACTCTGTATTATACAAGATACATGAAATGTTTAAATACACAGTATATATATATACACTGTGTATTTAAACATTTCATGTATCTTGTATAATACATAAAAAAAATTCATAGTTGTCTACAATTTTTGTAAGACCAACAAAAGGCCTAAAACTAGCACCATGGACAGCGAAATGCGGCTGCAGATCATAGGTTTAAAGGAATGGTTGGCTTGGTGGTGATTTTTGTTTTTAAATGTAATGTCTTTCATGTTAGATTTTTCTTTGGAAATGAAATGCTTTTCATTTCATCAAAACCTTTAGACAACAGTGATTAAGGATCATCTCAACTGGTTTCCCAAATACTTGTACATTCTTTCTTGTTATAGGTTTAACAGACTGTGTGGGGAGTTTTAGTTGAATGTATAGGGCTTTCACATTCTCATTTGATAGTTATGATGTACTCATGAGATTAAATGTAAACGTGTACAATGTCTGCATATCCCTGCCTGTTTGAACAAAACCTTGTGTCTCCAAAATGTTAACTTTATAGGAGAAGGAAAAAACATTCTTATTTTGATTGGAAGTTAATGGTACTAGATTTTTATTTTCATATGGTATTTTCAAATTGTGTAAAACAGTACAAATTGACAAAAATGCAGATATGAGGTTTTGTTCCGACAGCAGTGATACATTCAACAAAGCATAATTTACTAATTCAAAGTTTTTCATTACAGTTGCAGATATCAGCTATAGTACAGTGCACACTAATCACAGTTTGGACTTATTTCTAACACTTATGAAAACATTTAGATAGGATGTGTAACCCCAGTGTGTATCCCTGTAATGGCAATATGTGCACCAAACAGATTATCAGCGTGCAGTTTGAACACTCCTAATTCAGATTAGATAAAAGTGTTCAGGTGAGTGTGCCAACATGAAACGTAACAGTGTCAGCATGTGTTTTAAGAAGTAACACCATCTGATGCTGTTTGGTCAGCAGCAGCTGGAGTGAGCTCTTAACTGCTAAATATCATGAATAAGAAATGGCCAGGCTTTTCCAGCCTGCACTTTGCATCTCAATGACTTCCCCTCCATATGGGTTAGTAGACTCACTCAGTCAGCCCCAGTGCATCGCTAGTCGTTTATCAGTACTATTGGCAGTGTCATTGGTCTCACCTGATGTACATTATTAATGGAATCTTTTCACATTTTGGTGAGGGGAATATTAATCATTGTCAGTTGCTTGGATAGATGTTACCATCATACTAGTATACATAGATGAATGTGATTGCATATCAATCAGGTTGAGCCTATTTGAACATGTTAAATTTGAATAACAGATGAATGCATATATCTTATATATCCATGTCATCTGTATATATATATATATATGTGTGTGTGTGTGTGTGTGTGTGTGTGTGTGTGTGTGTGACCCTTCATTTATTTAATTCCCAGTCAAAATGCCAGTTTAAGTGGAAAGTAAACTAAGTAAAATAAATAAAAAAAAACAGGGGTTTCCAAAACTGAAGTCCAAACTTATTAAAAGATACAGAGAAAACGAGACTCCTAACAACAATAAAAGAACAGGTAGACCACCAAAACTGTCACCATCAGATAAACAGCAGTTAAAGCTTTCATCTTTGAGAGACAGGAGAAAAATCACGCTCCACTCTTCAAGCAAAAAAATCAGCAAAATTCCCAAAAAGAATTCAAAAGCAAGAGGTGGACACACTTAATACTTTATATTCCATTTAGTTGTTGAGGCTTCTGTGTCATTTTCCACTAAATGTATGTTTTCTGCTTTTTTCCTGATACTGACAATGCATAACTTAACTTAATGGCTGCTTGACTGTGAATTAAATAAATGAAAGGTGGTCTTTGATGTCTGTGTGTTTGTGTGTGTGTGTGTGTGTGTTTGTGGACAAATTGCTAGAGCTGTTATCTGTTTATTTGTCTTTTCTGCAGTTGCACAGGAGTTTAAAATTACTGAACAGTGGCAAATTCCTTCAAAGTGCTGAAAAGGGGCACCTGGTGCTAATGGGCCCAGGTCAACAGAACAGTGATTAAACAGTTGAAAGGCTGACTATAAAAATGGCAAAATATTTATTTATCAAAAATAAGTGTACACAATACAAACTTCATTCAAACATTAAAAAATACAGCAATATAAGCTTAAGTCGGACAGAGCATGTTAAAAATAGCATATTTTCTCCCATGCTTTGGATTTGGCCAGCAAAGAGAGGAAGTGTGCAGCCTTGGCAATGACACCAGTCCCTTTATCACACCATGGGACACATATTTTTGCAGAGCAAAGTCTTTACAGTATTTTTTGTATCAGAGAAGCTCTGATACTACTGGCTATTTCAGTACATCCTGGAAAAAAAATATTAAATTTATTACACAGGTTTCATGTTTGTTTCACTGCTTCACTGGCATTATAACAGGTACATATACAATATATATTCATTCACAAGTGCAGTGTTTACATAAGTAGCTCTTATCATTCCTGAGTTACCCGAAGAGGAATATTGTTGTTTTCTCTAAATAGTTTAGTCAAGAAAAGCTTAAAATCAATATTCATTGATTGCTGCTGGTGACAATATTATCTTCTTTTAATCTCCATGATCCTGGAAAGGAAAATAACACAGTTTACTACAGCTGTTAATTCATCCATCAGAGATGCAAAATTTAATTTAGTCTAAATTGTGGAATTCTCAGACTGGGAATGGAGTGAGAGGATCTTGGATTAGGGGTGTGGTTTATTTTGGGGTGGAGCTTGGACTGTAGCTGTGGTTTGGACTGCTGAGTGTTCAGTGAAATTCTCTATATTGTTTAACCGCAAGATGGCGCTCGAGCATCACACACGTGCTCAAAGCTTTGCACTGTATGTCTCGAGGTATATTTTGTGACCGTTAAAATCAGAAAGTGGATTCTTTACGAAGTTACTCGCTAACCAATAGATGATTTGTTTAGAATGGCAGATGTACGGTTAACACAGATGAGGCCAAGCATTAAAATAAAGGGCAGATGGACACGTTATAAATCATAGTCTGTCCATTCCTCTGTACTCACAGGTGGACAGCTTTGGAAACAGGGGTTGATAAAAACTGGTAAGTGTGTCCTGAGACTCTGAATAAATATATCTGACGTTTACGAGGAAATACGTACTGCACATGACACATAAACATGAATGACTAGTAAGACGTGTAGAAAAAGTTCTCTATGTCAGTAACGAATAACGTTTTAAATTCCATGTACTTAAGTACAATTTTGATGGATTTGTGTTTTTTCTGAGTGTTTCCAAATGGATATACTTGTTATATATATTATATATACATGTTAGAGTAATTTTTCCTCATTTATATTTTAGATATTTATTTTAACTTTTTTTACTGCATTTACTGCGCATTCTGTTCTGTTGGCTCAGCACCAGTACTGTTATGCTGTTGTTCACATGTCCTACTTTGGAGCTTTAGCATTTTATTTTAGATCAAATAAATGGCAAAAAGATAAGCATTGCTCCAAACATGTGTTCCTATGTCGATGCCACATGCAGCTTTATGTATATTATATATATGCCTGAAACTATCTACTCTTGCGAAGTTGCTTGTTTTGCTAGTCCACTTTTATCTTATTTAACTTGCCTCAGCCTATTAAAGAAAAATACTGTAGATATGGTTCTAGTCCCGCGGACTGCATGTGATTATGAACTTTTAGCCAATCCTAGCGCAGGAGGCGGGGCTTGTCAGGATACGGATGAAGAAAGGTCGCCTAGCAACGGGAGACTATGACGGAGTTGCCGGTACTTCCAGTTGTTTTGCCTTTAATCCATGAAGTTCTACGTTAATGAACGTAAACGCTGCGTACGTTTATTGCAAGTACGTCTATGAGGAA